GAGTTCAAATCATTTTGAATTTGGTGAGATGGTTTGTAATTGTTTATTTACAATTGTTCTCGATTATATTGTCGGTGCTCAAACTTGTTCATCTCGTGTGATAAAGCATCTCCAATGTCTATTGACTCTCCAATTGATTATTTCAATCGAAATGTGCCGAAATTTGCTCACATAGACACGAGTGGGCTCGATGCATAGCAGTAAATAAACCACCTATGTGCTTCAAAATGTTCCCCGGGGGGGGGGGGAGGGATATATGGCAAGCATGCTGGAGGATGGTCTCTAACACAAAAGGTATTGAGATAGAGATATTATTGGCCTATGCTAAAAAATGATGCATAACAATTTACAAAGAAAAGTAATAAGTGTCAACACGATCTAGAGGCAGCTCGCTCAGGAGCTAAGTATTGTTTCTAGCCCTTGACCATTCACCAAATGGGGGATTAATCTCATAGCCCCCCTACCTAAAGGAAAAAGTGGTGCCAGTTTTACAATTGTTGTTATTGACTAATTCACAAGTGGATTGAGGCTAAACCTCTTGCTAAAATTATTGAAGCTAATACTTCCAATTTTTTGTGGAAAAATATCATATGTCAGTACAGAATTCCCCATTCAATTGTTTCGGATAATGGGTGACATTTGACAACAAGAAGGTCAGAAATTTATGTGAGGAGTTAGGAATCAAGAAGCACAACTCTTTCCCATATCATCCTTAGGCTAACGGACATGTAGACACTGTCAATAAAACCATCAAATATGCACTCAAGTGAAAATTAGACGCTTCTAAGAGACTTTGGGTTGATGAACTTCTTCAATTTTATGGGCCATCAGAACTACTAATAGAATAGCCACAGAAGAGACTCCATTTGCTATGGCTTATAGAGTCGAGGCTGTGAGTCTGTCGAAGTAGGTCTGTCATTTTCTCGTCGTATGTATTTTAATAAAATATCTAATGATATAATGAGAAGGTTTGAACTAGATTTCCTTGAAGAAAGAAGGGATAGATCCCAAGCAAAACTAGCTATCTACCAACTAGGTATTATAACTATAAGGTTAAGAAGAATTCGTTTCGCTTGAATGACCTTATGATAAAGAGAGTGTTCCTATCTTCTAAGGAGCTAGGAGTGGGAACCCTAGGCCCTAATTGGGAGTGTCCCTCTTGCATCAAGGAAGAGGTTTTACCAAGGACCTACAAAGTTGAAGGTATAGATTGACAAGCTATCTGCCAACACTTGTAAAAATTTCAAATTACAAACAAATATCAAATAATGAAATGAATAGCAACAAGGCAATAACTCCATAAATGAAAATGCAGTAAAGATAGCAAATGACAAAAAATGTATTCACTCATTGCAAAGAATATTACATCTGTGGGCTTCGAGGCCATTTATATAATATTTCAAGATCTTATCACTTTACATGGCTACCCTTTGCAAGAGTTTGAGGCTCGTCTCCCTCCTCTAAGAACTCAGACCTTAACTTAGAGTGTTGAAGGTCCGAAAGTTCACTTCAATCTACTTTACCACATCAGTGTAGGCATACATCCGCTAATACTTAGCAAAACTTTGGTATGCCTCAGTGAGGTAGAAGTTGGCAATGTATCACTTCTCAACTTCACTTTTTGCAAATTCAGCGTCTCTCCTTCCCATCTCCACCTCCCCTGTTAGGCTCGATATTCTGGAATTCAACTCTCCCACCTGCTGCTTCAAAGCAGCATTTTCTTTATTAGCCACCTCTAAAGTCTCATCAGCCAGCTTTTGGTGGGTGTTAGAAGTCTCCATTCGCTTCGTTAGGGAGGCCACCTCATTATGCGACAAGTGAATCTCCTTTTTCGAATATTCAATTTCTACAAGTACAGAAGTGAGCTTTACAGGCTTTTTATCATTTTGTTTCTTCAAAGCCTCCACTTCAGCCTTAGCCTTCTTGGCTGCTTTCTTGGCTTGGGAGGCCTTATTCGCGATTTCTTCATGTTTTCTTTGAAAGATTTTAAATTGGGCCTTCGCTTCTATGGCAGCACCAAACACCCTTCTCGTTTGGCTTACCATGGTGGTGAAGATGTCCACCCATTCAATGGTCTCTATGAATGATTGCCAATGGTTCATCCAGAACTTGTGAAATGTTGCAGTCTAAACCACTGAAGGAATCTTCGACAGAACCTCCGAAGCTAGCTCATCGCTCCGTTGAGAAAATGAGGAGCTTAGGGTGAAGACATGCATCAGATGCAGTGGACCACTAGATGTCCTCACCCTCTTAAAGGAATCTTGCCATGGGGAGCTAGGTGGTGGGCTGGCCATGGACCTATCCCCTCTAGTAGTAGAGAAATTTTTTTCTTGGGGGAAACGAAAATAACTTTTTGTGCACAAAATAATTTTTTTAGCTGTTATCATTTATTACTAAAGATCATGGTGTTATACCTTTACATATTATCTAGAAAGCCTAGTCTTTGATCTTACTTTGAAGTTTTTTTTCATGTTTGGCTCTTGAACTTCTAGTCTTGATATTTCGTTGGTGCCGTCTCTCATGCTTTTGATCTTTCTTGACATTTATATTTAAGCTTTCGTCTTGAATGATTTGACTTGAATGTTTAACTTCCATTTTGATTTTCATTTCAAATCCGATATATAATGCTTAATTGATTTTAACATTGATTTATTATCACTCAAAATATTAAAAAGCAATATTAGTCTTGTTTACTATGAAAAAAATATCGAGGATAAAGTTGACCATATGTCAACACAAATCATTGAAGCCTCATATTCATGACACCCATACTTGCCTCCTTAGAATTATAGCCTATGGCTTCCGTTATGTTGACGAAGCTCCCCCACTTCAGCTTCACATTCACAGCTTCGATAGGACCTTCAAAAAATGAGAGAACGAAGAGCATTATTGGTCACATGTGCCTCAACTTTGCTTAAATGTCTGAATAAATAAGAGGCCCAACATAAAACTTCGGCACGTGATGTCCATAAGTACTTCGAACATTTCATCATATATTTTACTCTCAAATTCTAATTTTTATATATAAATATTTACAATTGGACATGAGGAGCTATTATTGTGGGATTAAAAATAACCACCCCACAATTTTTAAATTATTGTTTCAATATAACACAAATTCTATGTACTACATTAATGATCATACATAGACTTGGGGGACTATTGATCTCATATTCGATGCTCCCAGTGCAAGCCATGCAGAAACAATATGTACAAGACATTTGGTAGTCAACAAAGTCAAAATAAGGAAAAAGGAAAAAGTTGATCCCTTTTTGCCGAAGCACTCCTTCTTTGGCCAAGGTACTCTCTCTTGCAGAACCTCTACCATGTAAAGTAATTTTCCCTCCTAGCTGAAGTACTCTATCAAGATCAAAGCACATGCTGCATTCAAAGCAGATCGAAAATGTCAGTGTAGGATGTAGGTCAGTTGACCCCTTGTGAATGCAATTAATTTGTGGCAAAAAGTGATGCGAGACTTTGGTTAACAAGATGAGGCCATGTGGTTTTGATTCAATGGTGGCCATGCCGATCCAAACTTTATAAATAGCAACACTTAACCTTTTAAGGGATTGAAAAAAATATATGTAAGATTACACGTGAATTCTTAGTAAAATCTCTTTCTTGTTCATTCCACATTTACATACTCGAGTTCAAATCATTTTTAGTTTTGGTGAGATAGATTGTGATTATTTATTTACAATTGTTCTTGATCATATCATCGATTTTCGAACGTGTTTGTCTCATGTTATAGAGCATGTTCTTCATCCATTACCTCTCCGATTGATTATTTCAATCGAAACGTGCCTACTTTGCTCGTTCAAACACGAGTGGACACGACATTTGTTTTCCACATTGCTATTGCAAAAAAGGTGGTCAACACTTACAATACATCATAGCCTCTTGTCTATAAGCTAAATAGGCGAGTAAATTGAACTTTTCGAAATAATGGCTTTTTATAACCAAAAAAAAAGTCAGAAGACTGGTCATTCACAAAACAATTAGTAGGATTAACCTTTTTTTCCATATGAACTAGCCCTATTTCATGAGAGTTTAAGGGTTTACCTTTTCTCAGAAGTAAGATTGGCAATGGGCAAGTCGCGGGAAGGTTACTCATTTATGTAACTATTTAATAGTTTTTATAAATTTTGATAATTCATTTTATTGCTCCCATTCATTCAAGTAAGACAATAATATAGCTATTAAATTTTTTAATTAATTTGTTTAAAAGTTAAATTACTTGAATGCTTTTGGTAAACTGAAGTTTTTTATTGTTTATAATGTTCTTTAGATAATCTCAGATAGCATCTTCTATTAGGATTAATGAAATTTTGTGGAGATTTTCCATTTAAAGTATTGGTTTTTTTATAAAAAAATAAAGTAAAATAAAATGGGGCGGAGCCCTTGTTACCAACACTCTCCTCGAGGCGGAATTTCCTTCCCTATACGTGACTCAATTACCCGATTAAGCAGGCAATCCCTCCCCTACACGAGGCGGGGCTGCGGGTATTGAATTTGATAGGTATTTTTGTCATCTCTATTCAAGAGAGAATATCTACTTGAAAAGTGGGGTCATTTTTCCAACCCAGACACAATTAACTCGGAAATTTCTAGATGATTAAGATGGACTAAATTAATTTTTAGCTATAATTAAAATTCACTGAAGACCGCATAATCTAAGCCATTATTTCGCGATTGTTTATAAATTATTCATAATGGATTTAATCATTTTTTACACACAAATTATGTGGAACTCACAAGTATTTCTTACTTATCCATGGTTCATTTTTTATATTTATAATTTAAACTATTTATAAACAACTCCCAAAAAATGATTATTTTTATGTTGCACCATGATAGTAAGAGGAAGATTATACAAACATCAATCGTAGTTGAAGTTTTAGGCCACTCTTTTTTACATGGAGCGTGGTGATAAGAAATACATAAAATTTATAAACGGAGAGAAAAAGAAGAATGCAGAGATCAAATCAATATCCTCTTCAAATTTACTAAAAATGGTATCCTTTATTATTAAACGTACATTTACATAATGATCTTTATTGACACAAACTACACCAATTTATCTAATATGCAAATCACAGTAATAAAAATCTATCGGGAACATATTTATTAAGTACAAATAACATAAAAGTGTAGAATTTAGTTTCCCCGGGAATCTTATTTCCCATTTTTGTTCCACCATGAGTAGAGGGGCGGAATACTTTGTTCATTCTGGAAGAAATTAGCAGGATCAACTTTGGTTTTCACATGAACCAATCTGTTGAAATTATTCTTGAAATATTTGATCCCCCAAATGCTGGCTTGTGAATAGCTTGTGTTGCCCTTGTTATTAACTCCAATATCAAGATCTCTATAGTTGATATATGCAGCCCTTGGAAAGTTTGAAACATAAGGAGCCATGTAACTGTAAAGCTTTCTAATCCAATTTATATACTTATCTGATGCCTCTACCTCTTCTGGTTCCCAATACACCAAGTGCTGGATTTTGTACAAATTACCAGCCCTGTGAGGAAAGGGAATTGCAGAATCTGAAATTTTATCCATTCTTCCACCATATGGACTCAATATCATCTCAGCTTCCTCAGCTTCCTCTTCAAAAAACAATTTCCAAATCCCTTCGAGCCCATTCCTGGAAATAGGTTTCTGAACATAGTCCGTTTTTGCTTTGAAGTATCGTACATTTGGCTGAGTCCTGTTCTGCAATACTTCTCGTGATTCGATGGGAAACCCAGCAAAATATAGGATTGATTCTATCCAACTCATTTCAGTGCAATATTCTCTCTGGAGACCCAATTCTGGGAAGCTTTGTTGCATTAGAGGAAGCAATGTTCCAACACCACCAAGGTACAATGAATTAAATGAAGCCTGTATAGTTCTCCCTCCATCTTGGCTTGAATTCACCCTTCTTATAAGGATTCTAATGAACAAATCTTCATCGAATTTGTGTGCAATGTATTGCCATCGGTGAACAATATTTGTTGCATTTTGATCCAAGGTCTTGTTAATTGTAAACACAGTGACTTTTTCTGGAACATCCACCAATTGTATCTTCCAAGCAAGAATGACTCCAAAACTAGCACCTCCACCTCCTCTTATGGCCCAGAATAGATCTTCACCCATTGATTTTCGATCGAGAATCCTTCCATTCACGTCAACCAAGCGCGCATCAATTATATTATCTGCTGCAAGCCCATATTTTCTTAACAATGCTCCATACCCTCCACCACTGAAATGCCCACCAACTCCAACGGTAGGGCAAACACCAGCAGGAAACCCTAGGGTTTGACTTGTTTCCGAAATTCTATAGTATAGTTCCCCGATGGTTGAACCGGTTTGAACCCATGCAGTTTTGTTATCAGCATCAACACTTATTTCCCTTAAGTTGAAAAGATCAAGTATGACAAAAGGAACTTCTGATGCATATGAAAGTCCTTCATAATCATGGCCACCACTTCGAACCCGTATTTGCATTCCATTTTCTTTGGCGCAATATATGATAGGTTGAATTTGGGATTCTTGCACGGGAGTAACAATGACTAATGGTTTAGGTGTTGTTTCTGATGTGAATCGAAGGTTTTGTATGGAGAAATTTAGGATTGATGAGTATGAAGTATCGTTTGGGGTATAAACAACATTGGAAATGGAAGAGTCATTGTTTGATTGAATGGACATACATTGAATAAAATCATCATGTCCATCAGAAGAAACTGCCCATGAACATGAGAAGATTACAAGAAGAGCAAATAAAAGGGAACAAGTGCTTGGAGTATTCATCATTTAACGTAGACTGATTAATTTGTATATTGCAAAGAAGAAAACATACTGAATTTATAGTGTCATGAAGTTGCATGCTTCTTTCGAAACATTGGATATTAATGTGAACATCAGGTTTGAATTTCTGTTACAATAACTGTATGATAATGACTATTCCAATTAAGTTGCTATATGAACAAATTTCTGAACATTATTTGTTCAGATTATGTATTCTAGCTAAGGGAAGAAAATTGTTTTTCCATGGTGTAACAGATTAGTATTTTCAAAAATTAATATATAAAAATAAACGCATCCCAATTGTTTATTTTGTATTATTAATTTGGTTATTTCTTCAATGGAGAAGTCATAATATTCGAGATTAGTTGACGTTTCAAAGTCATATATGTTGATATTTTCATTTAATAAAATCTAGAATTTGACATTTAACATTCCTTGAATTTATGTAGCTTCAGCATACATAGACGGGTGAATTGATAATCCAGTATCTACGTTTTCGCCTAAAATCTGCAATCCGTAAGAAATCAGAACTTGATTTACAGGCAAAGATTTTTATATGCTGATTAATTATAAATTTTGCGACACAAAATTTATTATTTGTCTGTGTCAAATTAAGCTTCTAAATCTTGTGATGCTCTCATATACTTATTTACGTTTAAGTGTTTCGACAAAGTATTTTTCTGCATGCTAAAAAAAAAAAGTTGTATAATACGATTTCTCGCCCCACTGGTGTATTTATTAGCTGAAGCCATAAAAGATGGCAAGAAAGTACTACCACTTGGCAAAAAAACTTTCATTGCAAATTTCAGGAATTTCCCGGAAAATGAATAATCAGAATATTCAAAGTAGGAAGTTAGGAACATTAATTACCAATATATATATATATATATATCAGAAAAGTCAGTGTGTTTGGGGTCAATTCTAGACGTGCCCTTAGAATTCTTGAAAAGCCTCTAAGACCAACTAGATCGAAGGAAGGGCCACTGAGACTATATTTTGTTGAAAATAAGTTCAAACTTTTCCAAATTGAAAATTAAAATTTCAGTTTTCATGCATTTTAAGTTTTCTGTTTTAATTTCCAGATTTGATTAATTTTCATTGTGAGCATGTTGAATTTTTTATCATAAAAGGGGGTGGATCTCCCATTGTTTTATACACACAAAAAAAAGACTTTGGCAAAATATTCTCTAGTCATTTCATATTATTTTCTTCTATGATTTTGGCAATTATTAAGGACTTATTCTTTCTATCCCCGTGGTCATGCCCTTAGAAGGAGAATTGATTGCGAGTTGTTAGGGTTTTACATTGAAGCCGTGCATTGCTTAAAGTACCCACACAAAGGAGAGACCACGTGATTTTAGTACAGTGTTTATCGAGACACTTTTAGACTAGCTTTTCTAACTTTATTATTATATTTATATTATTTGACTTATGTTTATAGTTGATAATTAATTACAAATCACAAAATTTTTACAACAGATTTTGTACATGATCATCTTTATCTAACAATGGAAGGGAGGATAGATCAAATTCAACTGTTTGCAGATGTCGTTCGCGTGTTTTAGAAGTCATTCATGTATACTAATTTTGCAAATGCTGAATTGTATTTGATCATATATAGTTACTGAATTTATTTATTCTTACATGTATATAAATTATTCTAGTTCTTGGGTTGAAGAATAAAATGGTATATCGTTATCAACGTTTTCAAACTCTGTCCAATTATAAAATGATCAGTGTATTATTTATCATTTCAATTATATCACTTGATTAGCTGTCTCATTACTTAGCAGAGTAATGAAGGGAAATTCTACTTGTACATAATTATTGCACATAATGATGTTCATAATGTGATATGGCAATCTTCGGTGTGCAAGTGTGAGATTTGAATTAAAGGTTGGATCTAGTGACACATGTAATTGTGGACACCATTATGTAGACAATTATGTACATATAACACTATGATACGGCAAATATACCTCACAAGTTTCTCCACTACCATTTTTTTTAAGGCAAACAAATATCCCAAACATTATTGAGTAACAAGGGTTCTATGTACTGAAAATGACAAATAAGTGCTAAACATTGACACTATATTATTAACAGCTAATTAGAATAATTCCAAAAATTGATTGCATTCATAAGACAAACATACGGTTCAAATAAATCAACTTTAGTTGGTGAGAATTCTTTGCACCTTACAAGAAAAAGTTCAAAACAAATGCTTACAAGGAGACATATGGGAGCAAGTACTCTCACTTATTCACCATTCAGTATGTTATGTATTGTGGCGATCTATAGTTTGATTGATTTGAGCATTGGAGGGCGGAGGGCCTTTAGGCAGCCCGAGTGTCGCCTTACACAAGTATTTTTTTACTTGTCAATCAAAAGATCAACAACATATTGAATGTTGACGATTTATTTACACAAAATGATTCTTTATCAAAGTCGAAGTCAAGAAGGACTAAAATGAAATAAATTATTTTAATTGGTACTAAATTTATTGTGGAAAATATTTTGAAGGTTTTAAGTTGGACAAAATAAAATTTTGGGATTTACTTATATATTTTTGGAAGTTTAGGATTTAATTTTATATTATATTTAAGAAGAGGGACTTTCCTTGCAATATGGAGTAAGTGGGCCTTTACAGTACAACCTTTGACCCTTTTTTCTCTCAAAACACACACTAGAAACCGGTTGAGAGAGAGAAAACGTAGAGAAGAAAAAAAAACCAAGGGAAAAAGGGAATAAACGAGAAAGAAAGGAAGGAAAAAGAGAAGGAAGGTGAAGAAGAAGAAATCTTATGCCAATTATTTCAAGCTTGTTTCTTTAGTTTTTCAAGAGATTGAAGGAAGGAGAATGATTCCAAGCCAATCTTTTGATTTGTGAAAGATTTTTTCATTTTATTATTATTATTTTTTTTGTGCCAAGGTAAGAAATACCGACTTCTAGCAAACCCTAGATCTTTAAATTGGACAATTGAGTAAAGATTAATTGTGGAAATGATCATGTGGTAGGGGCAGCCGAGTAGAGCTCTCAAGCATCAAAATCCAGTATCTCAAACTCATGATGGTCTTGAAAGAGGACATGTTGGAGGGGCTAGTGGGGCCACAGAATTAGTTCACTAGCTTCAGGTATAACCTGACTTGTCACTAACAAAAAAGTTGCAGCTATTGCTTTCTTTCTACCCAATGTTGACAGAGATAAACTCTATTGAGAAGGCTATGAAACTTGGGCGAAATTTTTTATGGGTACATCTAATCCAGTTGATACTGAACTTTGGATGAAGACTTTGGAGAGTATATTTGATATGGTAGAATGTTTAGACGATAAGAAATTATGCCTTGCTGTATTTTTATTGAAGGGAGGAGTGGTTGATTGGTATGTTTCATTTCGAGTCGATATTCAGATCCTAATGTTATCACCAAGACCATTTTCAAGGAAGCTTTCTATGAAACATACTATCCTCCACTTTATCGTGATGAAAAAAAATGAGTTTTTAAGATTGGTTCAAGGGTCTATGTCTACTGCTGAATACCATGTAATGTTTGTAAAACTTTCCAAGTATACAAGTGCTTTGGTTGCTGAAGAGAGAGATAGGTGTAGACGGTTCGAGCAAGGATTTATAGTAGAAATCCGGCCTATGGTTATTGCTCATGGGCATCAAAATTTTAGTATGTTGGTTGAGGCGGCATTGAGGGTTGAGACAAATATTCGAGAATGAAGTAATTAGGGAGTACAGGTGACCTTCAATATGGTATCTGTCAAACAGAAACTTCAGGAGAAAAGTTCAAGAATAACAAAAAAATTTTTTGGCTAGGTGTCACTAAATCTAGCGATTTTGAATCTAAGTCTGGAAGTTCTAGGTCTAGTTAGGGATCAAACATAGCTAGAGTTCTATAAAGCAATCAGTGGTGAGCGATTTTTATGTTTAGGGTTCTACATAGAGAATTCAAGGAGCGAGGCGGCATAAGGGTTCTGATCACTGAAGTTTTCCACAGTGCCAATCTTGGAGAAAGTTTCATCCAACTGAGTATCTATGAGGAATTGGAGTTTGTTATCAGTGTGGTTAGATGGGACACATAAGGAAAGATTGTCCAGCCCGATCTTAACAGATTGGAGCGTCTCGAATAGTATTTTCTTAGCCAATGATCGGTACGGCCAGACAGAATAGGGATCAAAGAGCTACATCAGCAGGGTCAATGGGGGCCACACAATCTAATGTTGCTAAGGATAGTGCTTCTAGATAGAGAGCCCAGGCCAATCGATCCAAGACTCGAGGCAAAGTGTTTGCTATAACCGAGCAGGAGGCAGAGGAGTCACTAGATGTGGTGGTAGGTATGTTATCTATTTTTGATAGAAGTACGCGCTCTTTAATTGATTCCGGTGCTACATATTTCTTTATTTCTCATGCACTTGGTAGCTATGCTAATCAGATGTCAGAGCCTTTAGATAGTGAATTGGTAGTAGCGACTCTAGTAGGGGACTCACTTTTAGCTAATTGTGTATATAAAAATTGTGGTATTAGAGTGAACAATCATGAGTTGAAAGCAGATCTAATTCCACTTGACATTCATGATTTTGATGTTATTTTATGGTTTTCGGCCGCTCCATGCTTCCACTGGCGTTTTGTCTTGCATAGCTTTAGTCGGACATCGATTTAGTAGGTAGACTGCAGTGCTTACTGCTTTTGTCCATAAAGTTTTCGAAAGACTTTTCTTCATTAGCATAGCTTTAGCTGTCTCCATTACTGTTCTATTCTTTCTTTCTGACATGCCATTTTGTTCAGGCATGTATCCAACTGTAAGTTGATGATGCTCTATTCCTTTATCTTCACAAAACTTTTTGAATTCATTTGATGTATATTCTTTGTCTCTATCGCTTCTGATAGTTTTGATATTGCAACCACTTTGCTTTTCAACATAGTTTTTGAACCTTTTAAAAATCTCAAATAGTTGGGATTTTTCACATAAGAAATATACCCATGTCATTCTAGTGTAGTCATCAATGA